CGTGGTCTGCAGCAGCACCCTGTTGCGTCATATGTGATCAGACTATGGAGACGATGGCTCATCTCCTCACTATTGAATTCATGCTCCGGCCAGTTCATCCAAAAATCCGAACTGATGTAGAGAGGCGGGCAATATATTTCAACACTCCCCCTTGTTGTATATCTGGATTGCCTAGCCCTTTCCATCAATTCAGACTTTTGGTTGTGTTGGTTAGTGCATGAAGCTTAACATGGTATCAGAGCTAAGGTCTTGAGTTCAAATCCCGGCTTTCGCAATTATCCAAAAATTGTTGTTGCCCCCATTTGTGTCCACATATAGGCCTCTTGAGCCATACCTCTGAGTCTATCCACATGTTAACTTCCCGCGTCACACGTGAGACGGGGTGTTAAAGTATATATGTGGATTGCCTAGCCCTTTCCACCAGTTTGGACTTTTGTTTGCGTTGGCTGGTTTGTGAAGCTTAACACCCCTCACGTCTAGGCTGTTTTAGTCCTTAGATGTGGGATCGACGACCGCATAATCTTTTTTATTTAATACTACGTTGGCAGAGTCTTGAACTCAAGACCTCTTGGCTCTGATACCATTTTGAATTCATGCTCCAGCTAGTTCATCCAAAAGTCTGAACTGATGTAGAGAGGCGGGCAATATATTTCAACACTCACAGGCTGCTCCTTCACGCACACGGTGTGGCAGGGGATCAGACTACGGAGACGAGGTGCTTTTCTAGGTCCGATTGACGGCTCGACCTCCCGAGGCAGGGGATATCTTCATGGACTGGTGGCTGGCTACTTGCCTCTCACTCCAGACCTTGGCCCGAAAGGGCACGTCGTGCCATCATGCTGGTGGCTTGGTGCATCTAGAAGCACCACAATGCAGCCATCTCCGTCAGCGCCCAACTCATCCTATCTAGCCTCCTTGACACGATTAGGATGGAAGCCAGACATTGGGCAACGACGGGCGCAAGCGGCCTAGCTGCGTTGTTCCCGGCTGTTGATACTGCTGGCGTTTAGTAGCGTTGTGTTGTAACATCGGGTGTGCTCGTCTGTTTTCTTGTATAAACTCTTCTTCTATCATTGAGTCCAAAGACAAGGCTTTTGTGTTTCCT